CACAGGGGAGATGGCCGTCTGCAACACACACAGGGGTAGTGCAGCCTGCTGTGTGCAACCCACTCGACACGGGAAAACCACCGCCGCTGAAGTGCCGTACCACCAGCACGAGACCCCACGAAGAGCGTGCTTGACTGTAGTTTTTACTTCTCTACGTAGAAGGTCAGGAGAAGAACGACAGAACCGCTCGGCTCCGAAGCGAAAAACTGAATATGCACTGCATCTGCTGCCTACTTATACTCACGCTGTGATCAGCAGCAGCTGGATGCAATAATCGCATGCCAATGTGCATTGGCTCATTTAGTTTACACTCGAAGTAGATTGGTCTCTCTAAGCGAGATCCCAATTCGTCGGTCATCCGACGTGACGTCGAGAGTGACCGACTGAAAGGGACCTGCCAGATTCAAATGTGCTTGCGTGCTTTGGCTGACACTGAGCCAGAAACAGACACGCTCAGCACTTGTCATATATATCAACTATGCAGTGTTTTTAGCCACACAATATTTATTTTAGGCTTCAGACATTTAAATACACATAAGTGCTAGCAAAACAATACATTTATGTAAGTTTGTAAAATACACACTGATGTCTATGGAAGCGGCAATAACAATCCTTTCAATTATAATTTGATGACGTTGTTTATTCATATCAGATACACATTGTGGTAACTATAAAGTTCCCTCTATTTTTCTCTCATTTCACCAGCCACTTTTTTTTAATGTATTTTGGGAGAAATGGATGAATTTACGTGTTGTAAATCTGACAGATATGATTCTCTGAATTGCGACACAAACTAAGTGCCCATCATGCATTATAAATCAACTAACAAGATCATTATAAATGTTTGTAAACGACAAAACACATACTTGAGAATTGGAATATCAGATAATTGGCATAGTTAACAAGTTTGTGAATATTTTGAATAAAAAAGGAAAAACTAAATAGAAATGATCTGAAAATCTGTCATACAGCACTACTGTGGCTGTGGTGTGTCACGTGACAAACAATGCGTCACCATGGATATAATAAGGTGATGCAGGAGGGTCTATGTTAAACTTGTGTGAAAGGGTTAATGGCAAAAGTCTCATCACACTACATTCAGCACAAACTGTGCTACAGTGATATGTGAGTAACATGTACAGTACGTACACTATTTTTAAGAAAATCAAGTTTAAACTTTGAGAGTAAAAATAATTCTTAATAAAAACTGTAAAATATAACCTTAAAACACATACTTAACATTATTTCATAAAACATTTGAGAAAACAAAAACTAAAGGTTATGATACACAAGGAAATTTTTTGAGAAATATTGCTGGGCAATGATGCTATCAATGGGCAACCACACACAGGGCCCAAGACTGATCTAATTATCCAGACAGAAGTTTGTTGCCCATTCTCAATGGTAAAGTGCCCAAACAACATTGCTTGGCAACATTGCTCAAAAAGTTGCCCTGTGTATAATCACCTTAATACAAAAACTATATTATTATTAAAATTAAATATTCATTCATTGAATTCACCTGAGTTTCTGCAGTGTGCAGTTTGTATTTTCTAATCCGTTCTGGAGTTTCTTCACTCCTGAATCCTGCAGATTATTGTTGCTCAGGTCAAGCTCTTTCAGACTGGAGTTTGATCTCAGGACTGTAGCGAGAGCTGAACAACTTTCCTCTGTTAGACCACACTTACGCAGACTAAAATATTAAATATGAGAGAGAGAATTTACAAACACAAAGTGCATGCATGCTAACATTTAGTGATTACTGAGAATTACTGTTTTGATCACCTGATTTCTATAACATACTTTATATCTACAATAATAAATGAACACAATACTCACATCAGTGTGTTGAGTTTACAGTGTCTATCCTGCAGTAGAGCAGAGATCTGATTCACTCGTGTGTCTTCTAGTTCATGTAAACTCAGATTCAGCTCTCTCAGGAGTAACGGGTTTTTAATGGGAAGAACTTCAGTCAGATATTTACAGGCTTCTTCTGCATCAGGATTTTGTAACAACCTGGACATAATAGAAGTACATTGACATTATCTGCCATATAATGATTTATTTTCACAAGCTTGTGAAAAAGGTTTTACAAATGTCTTTTGACAGTTTAATTCTCCTTAATCAAAAACTTTTTAAAGACTATTGTTTTAATAACACTCACCTCAGTGTCTTCAGTGAGTAGTATTGACTCTGTAGTAAATCACTGAGCTGCTTCACTCCTGATTGTCCAGGATCATTTCCTGTGAGATCCAGCTCTATCAGGTGTGAAGGGTTTGATCTCAGAGCTGAAGCCAGAGCTTTATAACCTTCTTCAGTGATACTGCAGTCTGAAAGTCTACAAAAAAATAAAAACATTAATTAAAATTGGCAGTATGGTTCAAATTATTTAATTACTGCACAAATCGCAAAATATGACTAAATCACACTACAGCTGAATAAATGTGACCCTGGACCAAAAAACAGTTATAAGGGTCAATTTTTTTAATTTGAGATTTATACATCAACTGAAAGTGGAATAAATAAGCTTTCTATTGATGTATGGTTTGTTATGATACTATACTTCACAATACTTGGCTGAGATACAACTATTTGAAAATCTGGAATCTGAGGGTGCAAAAATATCTAAGTATTGAGAAAATTGCCTTTAAAGTTGTCCAAATGAAGTCTACATGAAGCAATGCATACTACTAATCAACAATTATGTTTAATATATTGCTAGGAAATTTACAAAATATCTTCATGGAACATGATCTTTACTTAATATTCTAATGATTTTTGGCATAAAAGAAAAAACTATAATTTTGACCAATTGGCTATTGCTCCAAATATACCCCAGCGACTTAAGACTGGTTTTGTGCTCCAGGGTCACAAATGATGTTATATGTAGATCGTTGGACAAAATATATGCAGAAACACCACTTCTAGTTTTATTGTCATAATTTATTTTGTGAGTGAGATGATGAATCAATTATTACCTGATGAATTTTAACTCAAATTAAATCAGAATTATTTGTACAGTTACAGATGTTTATCAAATGATGCTGAATGCCAATTATCAGCATGTATCATCAGCTAAAAACAGCACACATTAACATCGCATTTTACATTGGCCAGGTATAAAGTTCTGTGCATTAAAGGTCTATTGTCCCATGTAAACTGTGTACATCTTATATAAAATATATCCCATAATTAACAATTTCACGTCAGTTTGCCAATTTATCAAACTTAAAAAAAGAACTTTAATAAACTACAATTCTCTGTAAATTCTGAACATATGCTGCTTTTTGTGACTTTTTTGTACAATTATAATTTTAAAGACTTATTGAAATCAACTATATACAGTTCCTCTTATAATTCATAAAAAATTTAACCTAAAGCACTCCTTGTTTCTAAGGTCGGTGGGAGTCTGTGTTTTTTTGTCTGAGTCTGTTAAGGTTTATTTTTTTTTATTTTTTATTTTTTTTGAGTTGGTTCTAAACATAACCCAAATTTTAGGGGGAACAAAAAGCAATAGTATTGTATTTACAAATAAACACTTTTTGCTCTTTTACGTTTACTGAAAGAAGGCTGTGAATGTGTCCAATTTTGAATACTTTGAAACCAAAAAAACTAAAATTAACTAGCTAGTTTTAAAGTCACAATATTTTTTTACTTTAATTTAGTTTGATAGTATAGTTTATTTTTTGTTTATATTTTTATTTAACATAATTTTTATTTTTATTCAGTATAATTTTTATTTTTTATTTTTACAATAAACAAAAAATTCTTATTATTCATAGTTTTAGTTTAAGACAACACTACTGTGAGAAAAAAGGGGTGTAATGATACACATATTCATACCAAAAAATGTTTTAGGTGAAAATGTAGTGGTTTAAACTTCAAATATGTATTTTTTTACAGCCCCAATTCCAAAAAAGTTGGGACACTTGGTAAAATGTAAATAAAACAGAATACATTCTAGCTTCAAGTTAGAATTTTAGCTGTTCAACAGTACTGAGTCTTCTTCGCCATATTTTTATTTGCAAAATTTGCTTTGACATTTTCGGAGATGTGAGCTCCAAGGCGTCAGAGGCCGTTCAGCACTCATGAACCCACAGAGAGCAGCCTCACCTCGGCCAGATCTTCTGGAATTTGCTGCTGGCTCTGATGTCTCCATAGTGGTTAAACATGAGATATAATTCATTTTGGGTAAATATAACAGGCAATATTTGGTCTCATTAATGAATTATTATTATTTGTATTATTATTATTAATTTGTTACTATATTTTTCCATAGCAAATAGTTTTTTTTCCCCAAGGGCAAAGTTTTGTAACTTTATAATTTTATATAATGTTAATGCTGTATATCAGATCGCTGCCTTTGTACTTTTGATGGAATTGCTTAGCAACTTTTGTAATAGCTATTGTTGTTTATTAAGTATTATTGTTCAATAAATAATATTTTATATAAAAAATTGTAGCATTTAATAATAGTATTTCGTTTTAAGAAATGGTCTGTGTGTTTGTGATGGTGATTTTAGTTACATTGTTATGGTATTAGATGGTGACAAGACACTGTAGAAAAGTCAGAAGCAAAGACTTATGTTGAAAGGGAGTGAAACATGGTTGTAAAGTAGTACATTATTTTTACTTTCAACAACACCTTGCAAGATGCAACCAGCAGCGCTGTCATCTGAAATTCCCTTAACAGTTGAAAGGATACTACGACAAAGATATCTCTCTCCTCAGCGGACATTCAAACTGATGTTTTACTGTGAATATGATATTGAGCTGAAGAATTAATGTTGTATCAAATGCAGGTAATCACACTCGCTCAGTCCATCTCTCTCTCATAATACTCTACAAAAAACTATTTACTTCAATGAAGCAACCAGTACTCCTTTGGAAATCCAAAAACACTATTCTCAGTTTTTACTATTGATCAACTAGTAAATACTGCCCTATCCCTCAACAGTTTTCTGCATCGAAATGTGAAGAATTTGCAATTGCACAAATAGCATTGTAGCTGATGTTAATGCAGCTAATCTTAATGAATTTCATGAAAGAGATGCAACCTTCCGCAAATTCAGATGTATAACATTAACTGAGCTTCATACGATTATTACCACATGTAATTCTGCTACCTCATGCATTGACCGTGTGCCTACAGATGTTTTTAAATGGGTGTTTGACAGTGTTTTAGGCCATGTCTTGTATATTATAAATACATCCCTTCAAACTGCCTGTTTCCCTGATGCTTTTAAAACAGCTATTGTAAAACCTGTATTAAAAAAGCCATCTCTGGACAGTAGTGTCCTTGCTAATTATAAGCCCCTTTCTCACATTTATTAGTAAAATACTTGAAAAGGTAGTTGCAGAACATATAAACACCTTTATTGAAGAAAATCACATTATGGAAGTGTTTCAGTCTGGTTTTAGAACAGCTCTTTAAAATATCCAAAAACCACTAGAACAGTGTTATATATTTTGCTGACTTGTGTACTTACATTATCTTACTACTACATAATATTTCGAAGAATGTTTAAATCCAGAGAAATAAGCAATTTTAATTAGTGACACGGACCGTGTTTATAGTGTCATTGATTAAGTGAAGTGACATGTGGCCAAGTATGGTGACTCAGAATTAGTGCGCTGCATTTTATCCCATCCAAAGTGTGCACACACACAGCAGTGAACACACACACACCGTGAACACACACCCGGAGCAGTGGGCAGCCATTTTTTTTGCTGTGGTCAGTTGGGGGCTCGGTGCCTTGCTCAAGGGCACCTCATTCATGGTATTGACGTTTTTTTGCTGTGGTCAGTTGGGGGCTCGGTGCCTTGCTCAAGGGCACCTCAGTCGTGGTATTGACGGTGGGAGAAAGCGCTGTACATTCACTCCCCCCACCTACAATCCCTGCCGGTACGAGACTCGAACCTGCAACCTTTGGGTTACGAGTCCCACTCTCTAACCATTAGGCCACGACTTCCTCGACTGTGTCACCTGCCAATGACGTCATAACCCCTCGATTTCTTTTGTTTTGTAGAAAACATATGGAAACACCAAATACACTTTAATATGTTGTGCGTTTTAATAGACCGGTGACAACCGCACAGAGTAGCATTATAACAGAACTTTCAAACTTATCTAGTATGATAAAACTGCGCTGCTTTTTTTCCCACAGACTCATGACCGGAAGGAGCGGAAGCGGTCGACTGTGGCATAATAAAAGCTCTGCTGCTTTCGAGTCGTGTGTCACGCTCGTTCAGCGGCCTCGTTTCGCTTCGACGGCTTTTAGCCTCACCCTGCTTCCTTCTACTACGTTAATAAATCATTAGCTTATCCATGAACATGATTTCTGCCCGAGTGCCGTCGGATTGCATCGGCTGTGGGGATGAAGACGACAACTCCCATGATTCCACACTCAGTCACGGCGTCATCAAACTATGCTACCGGTCTTTGTTTATTTTGAATATGCGCCCTCCAGCGGCGAAAAATTACATATTGTGCCTTTAAGTGCAGGTTTTGACACGACTGATCATGATATTTTAATCAATCATTTAGAAAAGTTAGTAGGTCTTTCTGATTGTGTATTAAATTGGCTTAAAACATATATTCAAGAGAGAAATTTCAATGTTAGACTTGGAGAGCGTGTGTCTAAGAAACATCAAGCCCATTCTTGGTGTCCTTTTAGATTCTGATCAGGGAAGCTAGTTCACTGAATATTTTTAAAAGGAAGTTTAAAAACATTCCTTTTTATTTTGGCATTATTTAGTGTGTTAGGAATTGTTAGAAAAAAAGTTTCCGTTCAAAATAGCCCATAGATGATTTATTACTCCATGCTGAAAATTAAAATGTTTTAAGAGAAACAAAAACATTTGCGTCTTATTGCAATAAGACACAAACAGTCAGTTATGTCTGTGAACGTAAACAGCAGGGAAAGAAATCACGTGTATATTAGATCTGCATTTCTTATTTTAGAAATACATTTCTTACTTTAGTGGCGTACCGTGTACAGGTCACTCAGCGGAGGAGCTAAGTTAATAAGGCAGAGATCGTTACCAGTCATGGGCCTGTTCCAAAGTGACGTCCCTGAACGGCTTATTTTGGGACAACATTTCTGACTTATTGGGAAAAAAACAAACGGAGTGGATGGACCCCAATAGGGTGGTTTTGAACACACACTGGGGACACACAACTATGTTCAAAAACAATACAAATGTGAATTTTGCATAATAGGTTCCTTCTAAGAGTTTAATTATGGCATGGAATGTCAGTGTGTAGCCAAGTCCAAGTCCCCAAGTTCTGGAAAACACTAGTTAAAAAATCTATTAGTCTAAAGAAATATGTTTTCTTCAACAGTTGCTGTCCACTCTGTGTCTGTGGAGCAGCTGCCTGATCACAGTCTCCAAAACAGAGAGCAGACGAAATGACAGAAGCAGCACAATTGGCCAAATGTTGGTGACGTTCATTTTTATGTGAACAAACATGTATGTAACAACAGGCATTACTGAGTTCAGCAAACATATCATTGTTTTGTTTACATATTGTACAAAGGCAGCAAAATAATTATTATGGCAGGCCTAGTGGTGTTGAGTGTAGCTGCTGGTGAAATTCACTCACTTCAGTATCTTCAGCTCACACACAGGATTCTTCAGTCCCTCACAGATCTCTTTGACTCCTGAGTCCAGCAGACGACTGTTGTTCAGGTTAATCTCTTTCAGGATGGTTTTGGAGGAGAGAACAGTAGCTAGAACTAAACAGGTCTCCCCATCCAGATCTCCTAATTTATCCTCACTCAGATCCAGTTCTTTCAGTAATAATGGACTTTTACCCAGAACTTTAGTGAGATACTCGCACGCTTCCTGTGCAGCAGGACTTTTTAAGAACCTAAAAGTAGAAGAACTTTGATTCGATAGTCATGCTATAATTTAATGTCATTTGCAGCTCTCATCCTCCTTATGGGTCCAGTTTAGTATTAACTTCATATTTATGATAACTGTCTCCAGTTCTACTGAGAAAATATAATTTGTAAAATTAGTATAAATTAGTAAAAATGCAAAAGAAAACTTGAGTTCCAGACTCGTGAAATTCAGTTCTGTGATGGTATTGCATTTCTTTAAATTGAAATTCAGTAAATTTTGTAATTTCAAAATTATCACCTGATGGTCTTTAATTTACAGCATCCACCCTGTAGTAAATCATCGAGCTGCTTCACTCCTGATTGTCCAGGATCATTTCCTGTGAGATCCAGCTCTATCAGGTGTGAAGGGTTTGATCTCAGAGCTGAAGCCAGAGCTTTATAACCTTCTTCAGTGATACTGCAGTCTGAAAGTCTATATATAAAAAAGATTGCTTTAATAATATCACATGCTTCACATACATTTCTAAATATTTTGTATAAAATGTCATGTTGTAAGTAGTTAAAGAAAAGTTTAAAACTGAAATTATAATTATATTTTAGTCTTGATAGCCATCTATATTATCATTTGACTTAACCATATAGACATCTTGTAATGTATTCTGTATCTTTGTGGTTTTGAGAACTTGTCTCTTGTTAGTCTAATTCCCTTTGTGTATTTAAGCCTCTGTGTTTTCTGTGTTCACTCTCTGGTGGTGTCCATGTATAGTTGTTCTCAGTTCTGCTCAAACTTCTCCCATGTCACCTTGTTTTTTTGTTGTTAATATTACATTTTAGTGAATCAAACAAAAGAACAAAGATACACAAAACATTACATATTAATACATGTATATTCATACACAGACATGTACATAAATGAAAATACACACTTCAGTTTCTCTAATCCGCATAGTGTATTTTCCAACAGAGGACAGATTTTCTCAATTCCTGAGTTTTCTAGTTTATTCCCACTCAGATCCAGCTCTATCAGGTTTGAAGGATTTGAATTAAATGCTGAAGTCAGAGCAACACAACCTTCTGCAGTAATGCTGTTATTATTCAGCCTACAGAGAAAGAAAACAAAGACAGGAAACAGTATTCAATTTATCTCAAAACCTTCTTTAATAAACAACAGTCAGTTTTAGTCCAAAACAACTGAAAATATAACATCAAAATAATGTTATGTTTGAAAGATATATTCTGTAAACAAAAACTTTTATTTTGGATGTGATTAATAGCCATTACTCATTTTACAGCACTAATATATATATTAGCACTAACTGGTAATTTTTTATATATAACATTTTTTATATTTTTTCCGGTGATTGCTGTGGTCTTAGAGTGTAGCTGCTGGTGAAATGTACTCACTTGAGTATCTTCAGTTCACACACAGGATTCTTCAGTCCCTCACAGATCTCTTTGACTCCTGAGTCCAGCAGACGACTGTTGTTCAGGTTAATCTCTTTCAGGATGGTTTTGGAGAAGAGAACAGTAGCTAGAACTGAACAGCTTTTCTCTGTCTGTTCACAATTATTCAGCCTAAACACAAAAAACAGCATTATTTATTATTCAGCACATACTCAACACACATCAGATCAGCAGGTCTTCATATCTGCTTCACATGTAACTGGAAGTCCTTTATAATGACTAAACAGAGATGTTATAATGTATAGATGATGTTGACTCACTTCATTTTCTCCAGTTTGCTACTGTCAGCTCACAATTATTCAGCCTGAACACAAAAACAGCATTTTTATTTATCTTATTCAGCACATGCAATATTTAGCACGCCTTATATCAACAGTTTTTTTTATATTATAATACATTATATATATTTATAATGAATAAAACATTTATAATTTATTATACTGTATGATATATTATATATTTAACTTATAAAATGTAACTATGCAGGGCTTTAGTCCTCAAAAAGTTCAGATCAAACTTAGAAGAGAGGGGTTACTACGTGAACATTGCCCAGCAAGCGCAATAGCCGTCATTTCAACATCTCTGTTAAGTATAGGCCCGATATAGTCCGGCTATGTGTAACCCACTTCTAGCCCAAATAACCTTGAATTTGGTTTAATGTTGTTTTTTGGCAAAATGATTTGTGAGGTGTATGATATTCCATCAAGTAAGCAAAGTCAACATCGTTTACAAGGTGTATGGTTTCATTTCTTTGGCATGTTCAATACGTAGCCTGTGCGTAGCCACGATTTAACTCATAGTCCGAGCGGCTATCTGTAGCCCACTTATAGTCAAACCTGATTCACTGTAGTTTTTGGCCAGGCAGCGCATGAGATGGTTGATATCCCATCATGTTTGCAGTGTCAATAATATCTACAAAGATATACAAGTGTCATTTCATGACATGGTCTATGTAGCCACGATTTAGCTCTAAATTGGACGGGTGTAGTCTGCTTTTAGCCCACCCGGCGAAATCGAGGCAATCCGTGGTCTAATTTTAACGGCTTTGTTATAGCCCTATACCAGTAACCAGACCAGCGATAAGCATGGCCAAAATAGCCTTAAAATTGTTTACATGTAATTTTCACCCACGCAGCTTCGTATCAAATGCAAGTAAACAATTGAAACATTTAAATTAGCATTATTTTATATTTTATTTAATTATTTTACAGCATTATTAATAGCATTATTTATTATGCCAAAATGCTAATTTAAATGATTCAAACGTTTACTTGCATTTAATAATATGATGTCATGCATCCCACAATCTGTTAAATGTTACATTCATACACATTATAAGATATTATTTATTTTCGGCTGTCTTTCATTTTATAAATAAAAATGCAATTACAATTCCCAACCGCTAGATTGACAGCCCAAATTTAGCCTTGTTTTAGCCTAGATGTCTGGGCTGTGTTTAGACAGCTAATAGACGTCTTTTAAATGCAAAATTGCTTGCTGGGTGGTGACCATAAGTCTGAATGGACAGCCATGAAATGGGAAGTCCCACAAGGCTCTGTTCTCGCACTGTTCCTGTTAAATTTGCGATGCGATCTGGAAAAACCCGTCGGATGTCGCGCTGTGACGGTTTCAGGAAATTCGAAAAATAGGTCCAATGTCAATTTTTTGTCAAAATTAGGTTTTTATTCAATTATTATTCTATAACATCTTGTCTATCATCTCTGAAAATATCTTGGCAAGATTCACTTGTTTAGTGCAGAAAAATAGCGAACAGAAAATGCAGCAAACAGAAAAGATCTGTGTCTTTCACTTATGTTAAGAACGCGCTGCGGTGGTGCTTTCTCTTAACACCTCAAACACAGTTAACCTATCTCAATAAACCACGCAACATATATAGGCCTAATAAAGGTGTTACAATGCACATTTCCCCCCAGGCAAGTCCTGTGTAAACTACGGCACGCAAAGTTTTATTTATTTATTTATTTTTAATATCGTGAGATGGTGGAGCTCAAGAGAACAATGCAGTCTGAAGTAACTGCTCACTTAAACGATCTTGCTCGCCTCAGTTTGCTCAGTCTTGTTGATGTCAGTGCCCTTAACAATGTTATAATGGACTATTTCACATCCAGAGATGAAGGATCGGATGATGATGTTACTAAAGAGGAGGAGTCTGCTGACAGTCTGTTATATGCAAAGGTGCGCGAACAGTTGCGCTGCGCTCGCTTTTCTAAATGTAAACTACAAGGTACAATATTCCTGCTGTCTAAACATACAAGGGGTGATCAAAAGTTTAGAGACTATGCCCATGATTGTAATGTATTGACATTTGGTCAGTGCGTCTTTAAGAAACACTCCGGACTCTGTGGTGGATTAGTATAGGCTCCTCCTCCTCATGTGTGTGTGCACTGCAATAAAAGAAGTAAAGCAGCACTGAACATTTGAAAGCACAGTGTCGGTATCGTGCATTATTTTACATGGTGTCAGAAGTCTGCAAAGTACAGGTAATGAAATATGGCATCCTCGCAGTTCGAAACACCCAAAAATCGACTGGGACGCTCCGGATTTGTATCAAGAATTCGAAAGATTTAGAAGTCACGTCACGTTTGTCTTCGAAGGCCCGCTATCGGAGCTAACCGCGAAGCAGCGTGCAGGCTGGCTGGGTACGTGGATCGGCGAACAAGGCCGGGAAATCTACAAGACGTTCAGCTGGGCGGAAGGTGAAAGAAATTATCCATTCAAAGTTTTGGACAAATTTGCCAGCTACGTAAGGCCGAGAAAGAATAAGAGGATAGTCAGACATCGTTTTAAACAAAGAAAGCAAGGGACTGCTGAGAGTTTTGAACACTTTGTGAAGGACTTGAGACTTATACTAATGGATTGTGAGTATGCCGATCCAGATGACATGTTGATCGATGCAATAATCGCGGGTGTCAGAGAGAAGCGCGTCCAAGAAAGACTGTTAGACAAAGGAGAAGACTTAACGCTGCCGAAAGCACTTGAAATTGCTCAGCAATTCGAACTTTCACAGAAGCAGATTCAAATCGTCAGGGAAGAAGAGTCTCAAGTGCGAGCAGTGCATGTGAAAACAAAATACCAAGCGGCAAACAAAAAAGCCTATCAAAAGAATCAAACAAAATATGTTCAGAAAGAAATGCATGTAAACCGGCCCAAAAGGTGCGCAAGTTGTGGCAAAGACCCAAAGCATAAGTGGAATCAAGGAAAATGCCCAGCAAAAGGCTCTGTCTGTTCCTACGGTCACAAGCCAAACCACTGGGTGGCAGTATGTTGCAAAAGATCCGTCAACACAGTAAGTGTTGAGGAGGAATCAGAAACGATAGAGGAAATTCTCAACATTAATTTGACACAGACAAAGGAAGTAAGTAGTGACAAATGGACAGCAGACATTGTAAGTAGTGACAAATGCATACTACGGGAACTTTGCCGGGCAAATACACGATTAAAATTGACCCAAACGCAAAAGGTGTAGTTCATCCAGTCCGCCATCAACCAGCGGCACTCAGAAACAAAATAATAGAGAAACTGCAAGAGATGGTAAAAATGGGATACATCACCAAAGTCGACCAACCGAGTGGGTGAGTTCAATGGTAACAGCTGTTCGGAATGGCAAGATAAGAATTTGCATTGATCCGAGTGATTTAAACAAGGCTATAAAGAGGGAGCACTACCCGATGCGCACCATTGAAGAAGTAGTTTCCGCAATCCCGGGTGCTAAAGTCTTCTCAGTCCTGGATGTGAAATCTGGGTTCTTGCAGATAGAACTGGACGAAGCATCATCTCTGTTGACAACTTTCAACACGCCCATTGGGAGGTTCAGGTGGCTGAGGCTTCCTTTTGGCTTGAAATGCTCACCGGAGATTTTTCAGCGAATAATGGATGAAATGCTTGAGGGGATCAGTGGTGCGATAAGCATTATGGATGACATCCTGATAGCAGCACCCACAGAGAAGGAGCATGATGCGATCCTCCATAAAGTAATTCAGAGAGCCACAAGTTACAATCTGAGCCTCAACTTTGACAAATGCCACATCAAGCAATCTTCTGTGCAATATGTAGGACATCTAATAACAGCTGAGGGTCTAAAGGCAGACCCAGCTAAAATCGAAGCTGTTAAGTCCATGCCACTGCCAGCAAACAAGGATGGTGTCCGTCGCTTCCTAGGCTTTGTTACCTACTTGTCAAAGTTCTTGCCAAATCTCAGTGAGGTGGATGCACCTCTGCGACAGCTTCTAAAGACTGATGTCGAGTATGCATGGCAGCCGGCACAGCAACAAGAAAGACATATGCACACAGTCCCCAGTGCTAAAATTCTTTGATCCGTCTAAGCCTGTCGAAATTTTCTGTGATGTCAGCAGCAGCGGCTTGGGTGCTGTCCTACTGCAGGAAGATCATCCAGTTGCCTTCTCATCTCGATCGCTGACGGACACAGAAACACGCTACGTGCAAATTGAGAAGGAGATGCTCTCAATAGGTCACGCCTGTACAAAGTTTCACAATTTCATCTTTGGAAACCATGTCACGGTGTACAATGGCCACAAGCCTCTGGAAGACATTTATAACAAGCCACTCCTCTCAACCCCCATGCGCATACAAAGAATGCATCTTCGACTCCAGTGGT